TCATGCTAAAACCCCCTCAACACTCCAGTCCTTCGACCCCGTTACCACCGAAGAGGTCACTAAGGTCTTCTCTGAAGCTCGCCGTACCACCTGCCCCCTTGACTCTGTCCCCACACAACTCCTACGATCACCCTCCTCCACCATCCTACGCTCCCTCACTCACATCTTTAATCTCTCCCTCTCTACTGGCACATTCCCCTCCCCCCTGAAGCACGCGCACATCACTCCCATACTTAAAAAACCCTCCCTGGATCCCACCGCCCTAAACAAACTTAGGCCCATCTCCCTGCTGCCATTTTCATCCAAACTCCTTGAGCGATTAGCCTATAATCTCCTAAGCTCCCACCTCACCAACAACAACCTCCTTGATCCCCTAGAAATCTGGCTTCCGCCCCCTACACTCCACCGAAACTGCCCTACTCAAACTCACCAACGACCTGCTAACCGCCAAAGCCAATGGCCACTACTCAGTGCTACTACTCCTCGACCTCTCCGTGGCTTTCGACATGGTTGACCACCCCCTTCTCCTCAAAAAACTATACTCTTTTGGCCTCAGAGACTCCGCTCTCTCCTGGCTCTCTTCCTATCTATCTCAACGCTACTTCAGTGTTACCTATAACGCTGCCACCTCCCCCTCACCCCCTGTCAGGGAATGGGAAGATTGCCGCTGCGATCGAATCTGCACATGCGTAGAATCCTGACAAAACGTACAGGCAGGCAGGCACTAGGACCCAGGCGTGCCTGTCAAATGATGGGCTAGGCAAGCACTAGGACCCAGGAGTGCCTGTCAGGAGTCGGGTGGACTATTTAAACCCGGCTCTTGCAATGCTCAAGTGCCGTATGGTCTTATCTGTGTTCCTGAGTTCCTGTGAGTAGATTGTTTGTTGCCGAACCTGCCTGACCCTGATTTGCTGTCCGTCTCCTGCTCTGATCCCTGGCTTTGTCTGACCATTCTCCTGCTTAACCCTGTACGTTCTGACCTCCTGCTAACGAACCCGGCTTGTGACCTGTTTATCCCTCTGCCTGCTGATTTTGTACTACGCCGCCACCACTGTTACCGACCCGGCTTGCCTGACGCTGCTCCTGTTACCTCCTCACATCAGACTCTCACCTGCTATACACCTCCAACGATGCTTCTACCACAGCTGGGTGAACCCAGGGGCCGCGACCTGGTCTCGGCCTGCTCCAAGTCCATCCCCACCATCAGGGGCCCTGGTGAACAAGCAGGTCGGAGCTTAGATTCCGCGCCTTGGGGGAATCCAGTCTGTGGAGTGCTAGAGGCTACCGCAGTGGGGTCCCTGACACCCCCCCTCTCTGTTGGGGTCCCCGAAGGCTCTGTCCTTGGGCCCCTTCTCTTCTCCATCTATACCTCCTCCCTTGGCCAACTGATACACTCCCACGGCTTCAACTACCATCTCTGAGCCAATGACACTCAAATCTATCTCTCTACTACTCGCCTCACTCTTTCAGTCTCCGCCCGAATCACTAGCCTTCTGAACGACATATCAGACTGGATGTCACTCCAATTCCTCAAATTAAACCTTGGCAAAACCGAGCTCCTAGTTTTCCCACCAGCCGGCGCCCCCCCGACCTCTCCATCATGACCAACAACGCCACCATCAGCCCCACCACGCAAGCCAGAGTACTAAGTGTCATTCTAGACTCCAATCTGTCTTTCCAGCCCCAGATCCAATCGCTGACAAATTCATGCAGACTCCACCTCCGCAACATCTCCAAAATAAGCACGTTCTTAACTCCAGAAACTACAAAGCAACTCATTCACTCCCAACTCCCAACCTACCCCAACACAGGCTATCCCCGCTTCAGTCTATCCTGAGTTCTGCGGCCAGACTCATCCACCTTACCAACAGCTCCGTATCCTCCACCCCCCTCTGCCAATCCCTCCACTGGCTTCCGATTGCCCAACGCATAAAATTCAAAATATTAACATTAACGTACAAAGCTGTTCATAACACTGCCCCAAACTACATCACCGACCTGATATCCATCTACCACCCAAAACGCACTCTCCGCTCCTCACAAGACCTCCTTCTCTCCAGTTCCCTGGTCTCCTCCTCCCATGCCCATCTCCAGGACTTCTCCAGGGCTTCCCCCATCCTCTGGAACTCACTACCCCAATCCATCAGACTGTCACCTTCCCTCCTCACCTTCAGGCGCACCCTAAAAAACCCATCTCTTCAGAGAAGCCTACCCCGCCCTCACCTAATTTGCTGATCTCCTCCGCTCTTCCCACCACTCCATCCCCCACAGCTATTTCCTCCTGTACCACTCTCCCCTCCCTCCTAGATTGTAAGCTCCAAGGAGCAGGGCCCTCGAACCCCTCGTGTATTGCATTGTATTGTTACTGTACTGTCTCGTGTACTGTCTCCCATTATAATGTACAGCGCTAAGCAAACTGTTGGCGTTATATAAATACTGTATAATAATAATAATAATAATAATAATAAAAATTGTTTATACTATTTAAATGCAGTTAGAGGTAGACTGGAAGGAAGGAAGGAAGGAAGGAAGAATTTGGGAGAGTAGGATATACAGTAATGGCATCAAAACTTTGGAGGATCAAAGTACAAACAGTTCCCAAGGGTGATTTGATGATTGGACAAAATTAAAAGATATTGTGAAGGGATCCCAAGTTCTGTTTTAGAGAACTGATTGTAGCTCTAATTTAGGAGGTTTTTGTTTTACCAAAACCTGGCTAAATTTCCAATGGCATGTTTTGAAAGATCAGGGATTCAGTTCCACTATAAAAACATTGGGGGTGTGGTCTGACCATGAGACAGGTAGAATGTTAGTATTTTTAAAACCATGAAAAGTGGCTGCATTCACCAGCAGATAGTCTAAGCAGTACTGGGTGCAGTGGGGGTTGGAGTACAATATGAATCATGTATCTGAAAGGTGAACCACATGGCAGACATCAAAAACCTCATGTTTCCCATAGAGTGTGCAAAAAAACTGATATTGCTTTTCATAACAGGGAAAGATCTTCCATTTAGCAAGAGAGTACTTACTCATACCACTGAAAAAGGCACCTTTAAATTTTCACCAATAACCAAAAATCTGTGGTCTGACTAAAAGAGGAGATTGTAAACTTATGATAACAAGACATTTTGATTGGCACTGAGGAGTAAAAGTTAAAAAGAGTAAGGCCAACCCCCTCCACATTCCCCTTATGATAATGTTATAGCCATTTTTGTGAAGATATGAGCTAATACTCCTGAACAGGATAGCTAGTTCAGCTTTTCCTTTTTATTGGAAGCTTAATATATAATGGAAAAAATATCTGGATGTGTACCCCTCTTGTCAAGATGGGTCTCTTGAACAAATATTATGTCAGCCCTGAATTACCTGAACTCACAGAGGACCGGATGTCTCTTATGTTCAGGCCATTTTCATCCATGAAAGGAATTTTAACCATGATAATATTGAGGTGTGATGGCTTGCTGTATTTTCCTTGGGAAGCTTGGGATGATGAGTGGTGGAGGCAGCCTGATAGCTGTAGTGTCAACACAGGTTGAGGATCGACAAAGGGTCAAGACAGCAGAGTGGATTCAGACATATTATTATTATTAGATGCCATCAACTCTAGTCCAAGCCCTAGCGTGTTGATGAATACTAGCTCTAAAAAGAAGTCTGCTTTGTGCTAGTCTTGTGAGATACTCCAGTGTCATCATCACAGCTGTAATCAGCTTGTCCAGCCAGCTAGTAGTCAGTCTCCCTCTTCACCTGGTTCCTTCAATCTTCCCAAACATTATTTCCTTCTCCAGTGATCTCTCCCTTCTGATAGTGTGACTAAAATAGGACAGTTGCAACTTCATAGTTTGGGCTTCAAGTAACATAGCAGGTTTGGTCCCTTCCAAAATTGATCTATTAATTCTATGGGCTGTCCATGGCACACATAAAATCCTTCTCGGGCACCAGAGCTCAAATAAGTTGATCTTCTTTCTATCCTATTTCCATAGTGTCCAGCTCTCACAATCGTATTTGACAAATGAGAAAATGAGAGCATAGACAAGTCTGATCATTGTTTTCAGTGTAAATTCTTTGCATTTGAAAACTTTGTTGAGAGTCTTCACTGTGTAGCTAGCAAATGGAGTTCTGCAGAATATTTAATCACTGCTGGTTGTTTCCATGTTTATGAGCGCCTAGGAGATTAAAATGTTTCACTTCTATTTTGTCACTGTCAAGCTCAAATTTGGTGTCATTTTCTGTGGTCGTGATCTTCATCTAGTTTATATTCAGTTCCGATCCCATGTTATGACTTTAGACTTTAACTTTTCTCAGTAGATACAGCATATCGTCATTGTTGCTGGTGATGAGCTTTGTGTCATCTGCATAGAGCAGGTTGTTTATTTTTTGGCCCCCAACTTTAATACCAACAGACTCTTCTTCCAAATGTACTTTTCTGAAGATGGTCTCACCATATAGGTTAAACAGGTAAGGTGACAAGATACATCTCTGCCTGACATCCCATTTTATCAGAAACTAGTCAGTGTTGCTGTATTCAGTTCTCACTGCAGCTTCCTAATTTATTTAGAGGTTCTTTATTAACAGCTTCATGACCGCCCTATAACAGAAGTACTTCCGGTCAGGGGGCACGTGCGCTCCCTACCTGCACCACTATTGGCTCCTTGGCATGTCAGCCGCTGATTCTCGGACGGAACTCGGTGATCGTCGGAGGAGCTGACAGGGGAGAAGTCTGTAAACAATACAGATCTCTCCCCTGCCAGCATGAACAGACAGCTTTGTATTGATCTGCACAGTTTTAGTAAGGAAACAGCTTGTTTCCCTACTAAAACACACACACAGCACGCTTAGTAAAACACACACAGCACACAGTTAACCCTTTGAATGTGGCAGGTGTTAACCCCTTCCTGCCCAGTGCCATTAGTACAGTGTCAGTGCTTTTTTGTAGCACTGATCATTATATTAGTGTCACTGTGGATGTCAATGGCAGTTAGTCAGTCCCCCCCCCCCCCCAGTGTCAGAATGCCCGCTGCAGTCTCGCAATAAGTCACTAATCGCCCCCAGTACTAGTAAAAATAAATAAATAAAAATTCCACTGTAAATATACCCCCATTTGTAGACGCTATAACTTTGACATAAATCAATTAATTTACACATCTTGGGGGTTTTTTTTGTAGCGAACACATGTAGCAGAATACATTTTGGCCAAAATTTATGACGATATTTTATTTTTTACATTTTTTTTTATTGGACATGTTTAATTGCAAAAAGTCAAAAATATTGTTTTTTTTTTTCAAAATTGTCAGTCTTTTTTTCTTTATAGCACAGTTGACAAATACTTCTGAAATAAAGCTCTATTTGTGGGAAAAAAAAGGGCATAAAATTCCTTTATGTACAAAGTTGCATGATTGTGCAATTGTTAAAGTACCGCAGCGCCGTATTGCAAAAAACTGGCCTGGTCAGGAAGGGGGGGGGGGGGGGGGGGTAAATCCTCTGGAGGGTAAGTGGTTATTATTTATTGTTTATTTATTTCAGGTACTTATATAGCGCCATCAATTTACGCAGCCTTTACATATATATTGTACATTCACATCAGTCCCTAACCCTCAAGGGGTGTACAATCTAAAGTCCCTAACTTACATTCATACATACACATACATACTAGGGACAATATAGACAGGAGCCAATTAACCTAGCAGTATGTCTTTGAGAGTGTGAGAGGAAACCAGAGTACCCGGAGGAAACCCGCACAGGCACAGTGAGAACATGCAAACTCCAGGCAGGAGGTGCAGTGGCTGGGATGCAAACCAACGACCCTAGTACTGCCAGGCGGAAGTGCTAACCATTTAGCCACTGTTAACTGTGTTGTGTGTTTAGGTATTCCATTTGCAACAGAGTCCTCCATAATTTATCATGAACAACACAATCAAACACTTTACTGCAGTCAATACAGTAAAAGTATACGGTCTTTTGGTATTCCTTCTTCTGTAATATCCATCTAACATTGGTAATAATGTCTCTTGTTCCTCTGCGGTCTCTGAACCCAGTCTGAGCTTCAGGTAGTTCTCGCTCAATGTATGATTGTATTCTCCTTTGTATTATTTTCAGTAAAACTTTGCAAGCATGTGGAATTAATGCAATTGTTCTGTAATTGTAGCAATCTTTGGCATCTCCTTTCTTCAACATAGGATTAAACAGTGATCTTCTCCAATCTGCTGGCCATGTTTTTTCTTTTCAGATCCTTTGGAGCCTCTGATTAACTCAATTGGAATCCCATTGATAACCTGGGACTTATTCTTCATAAAGCTTTCATTTCGGCTATGACTTCTTCCTTTAGTATATCTAGTTCACCTTTAGCGTCACTGTCTGGTCCACTTTCTACAATTTTTTTCCACACTGCTTTTTTATATAGATTTTAACTATAATCTTTCCATCTCTTTTTAATGTTCTCTGAATCATTCCATATCAGTCTTTAGTCATCCCTAATCTAGGTTGGAATTTCTGTCTCAAATTCTTAATGTCTTGAAAAGCTAGTCTGGTTTTTCCTTACATGCTCAGCCTCAATTTTCTGACAAATAACTTTGAGTTATCTTTCTTTATCTTTCTGAAATTGTCATTGAAACATTCAATCTATCTGAGAAACATTTACTTTAACACCATACATTTTGGCTTGCCTTCTTAGTTCTGCTACTTTTCTAGCTTCTTCTGAAATTCAAGGTGACTTTTTTTTTTCATCTGTAATGTTCTTTCAGCTTCTTCACAAATTATTGTTATGATATTGTTTCATAACTCTTCGGGCTCTATATCTCCTGTATCCAGAACAGCAAATCTGTTGTTAAGTTTAATCCAGTAATCTTGTTGAATATTTGCAATATCATATTTGGAAGGCCTCTATTGATCATTAGCTTGTAAAGCTTTATCGTGACCTTCCATGTCAAAAGCTTATGATCGCTGCCAAAATAAGCTCCTGGTTTAGTCTTTGCTATTAACATTGCAGTTTTTTCACCACAGATGTAGTCAATTTTATTACTATGCATGCCATTTGGAGAGACCCATGTGTGTAGCCAATGCTGTGCTAGAACTGTGTATTCATGTTGGACAGTTGGTTAGTTTTCCAAAACAAAGTTATCACTGGTTTAATTTCTATCTCCTAAGCCATACTTTCCAACAACTGTATCTTTGGAATTTACATCCTACTTTTGCATTGAAGTCCCCCATGATATTTAGTAGATCTTGATTCACTGCTTGATCTATTGAATTTTGAAGTTGTTCATAAAACAACTCTACATCCTCCTCTTCTGCATATGTTTTTGGAGCATACACTTGGATCAGGGTGACATTGATTGACCTTGCATGTAGATGGATTGAGATGACTATATCACTGATATTATTGCATTTTAGTACCATCTTTGAGAGCTTATTGTTGAGGATAAATACCACACCATTTTCCTATAAGTTTTGTGACTAGAGTAGCATATCCAATGTTAATTTGATTGAAAGTGTCCTGTCCTGTCTATTTGAGTTCATTGACTTCTAATACATCTATTTTGGCTTTATCTATTTGATCTTTAACAATTTCTAATTTTCCTTGGTTCATACTACGTGCATTCAATGTCCTTATGGTGATAATATCTTTACAGCTTTTGATCTCCTTTTTCTATCCATTAACATCAACATCAGGACATCATGTAGGCTTTGATCCATCATAATTACCAGGCTTACTCTTGGTGACCATCAGCTCTTCCCTAGTAGCATGATGAGTGCATTCCTACCTAGGGGACCATCTTTCAGCACTATATGACAGTTCTCTTAGTTTTCTCAGCATCATCATCAAGTTTTCTTGGCATAAATCAGAAGTAGATTGCCGAGCCATTGTAAGTTCGATGTTGTCACTGTAGTCACGTCAAACATGATCTTCCGCTTTCAACACTGCCTGTCCGCTGCTGTTCAGATGGGTGGTATGTCATTAGTCTGGTATTTCACCTAGAACCTGTCTGCCTTGGGAGGCCCTGCTGGTAGTAAAACTACCAATGGCATAGCTTTTAGCTTTCTACATATGTACAAGCCCCCAGCGGTGTGACAAGCCTATTTACCATATCTGGGGACATAAGGGGAGTAAAAAAGAAAGAAAGTCCAGATCTGAGAAGGAACATAAGAAAGAACTTCTTTAAAATATAAAACAGGTATCTCAAATGAGCCAAAAACAACTGAAAAGCATAGGCAAAGATATTAGTGCCCCTTATCCACAGAGCATGGGTTTGAAGATCCATAAGCTTTATTATCCTTGAAGTAGGTTGAGCCACACTGAGGTGAAGGCCATAAGCACATGTATCTTACAGCTGTCATTACATGGGCCTTCCTAATTGTAAACGTAGTGGCACCTATAAGCAGGTTGGGAACTATGAGATCAGGTATGGAGAGGTGGACCAAGAGATTGAAAAAGCGTGTACCTGGGGAAAGGGGGGACAGTGCAAAGAAGGGTAAGGGAAATTATAAAGGAGATGTGGATATGGGGAAGGGGAATAAGAATATGTAACAGATGTCAAAACTGTTCTATGCAATATAATACCCAATATATCATGTCCTGTCTCCCCATGCCATTTTTAAAAATGTAATATAACAGCCTAGCTCATATCAGGTGAGATAGATCTGAGAGAGACAGATGTGAAGAGTTGAGGTAGGAGGTGGAGTGTGTACTAAAAGACCAAGCTGTGTACATCAATGTGTACAACAAGCAGTATGTGGATAACATAGGCAATTTGGAAGACATAATAAAATACATAAACACATAACCAGCTACTAAACAGCATCATGGAATGTCAGGAGGTAAAACACTGAAATGGGCTGACATGGAAGAAGTGGAAGGTAGGTAAAGAGAGGATGTAAGAGGGTTGAAATAGGGTGAGAGTGCAGAAGATGGTATGGAGTAGAAAGAGGTCACTCTGAATGGATGCACACAAAGTATGTTTTCTGAAGGAGAGGCAGGCATTGAACAGAAAGAGTCACCTTTAATGTTCAGGCAGGGAGCCTGGTGTAGGTATCAGCAGGTATAGAATGGTTGGAGACAAAAACAAGTCTGCTGAAGGAGGTTACACCGACCTTAGGTGTATCCTTGTAGACAGCATGAAGAAAATACTGCCGATTACCGGCAAGTGTGAAAGAAGACATCTACACTGATAATTAAGGCATTGATTATCAGTACCTTGATGATCAGTGCAGCCCCAACAGTGTCCATCAGTGCTGCCTATCATTGCCAATCAGTTTCCAGCAGTGCTGCCAGTCAGTGCCCTGCAGTGCTGCCAGTTAGTGCCCATCAGTGCTGTCTATCAGTGTCCTTCAATGCTGCCTATTAGTGCCCATCAGTGTCACTTATTAGTGTCCATCAGTGCCATCTATCAGTGCCCATCATTGCTGCCTATCAGTGCCGCATATCAGTGCAGCCTCATCAGTACCTCCTCATCAATGTCCGCCAGTGCCTCCTTGTCACTTCCATCTCTTCAGTTCTGCCTCATCAGTGCCCATCAGTGATGCTTATCAGTGCCCATCAGTGCTACCTATCAGTGCCCATAAGTTCAGCCTCATCAGTGAAGGAGAAAAATTACCTGTTTGCAAACTTTTATAATAGAAACTAAGAAACAGGGTTTTTTTTTTTAAATTTTCAGTTTTTCATTTATTTATCAAAAAATAAAAAAATCCAGTTCTGATTAAATACCACCAATAGAAAGCTCTATTTGTATGAAAAAAATGCTAAACATTTCATATGGGTACAGTGTTGCATGACCGCCCAATTGTCATTCAAAGTGCAACAGCGCTGAAAGCTGAAAATTGGCCTGGGCAGGAAAGGGGTTAAAGTTCCCGGTAGGCAAGTGGTTTAGGACAGTTATCAAATGAAGCCATTTATTATCATATAGTTGTTTGGTTTCTATTTAAATCATAATGCTAACAGAAATCATCCAAATAGCCCTGATCAAAAGTTTACATACCCTGGAATGTTTGGCCTAGACACACAAAGTGACATACATGGGTTAAAATGGAAAAAAAGGTTAATTTCCCA